AAAAAAAAAAAAAAAATGAAAAAAAAAAATTTTTTTTTGAAATAAATTTTTTTTCCCGATTTTTAAAATGTCTCCGCCAACAGCTCAAATAAATGCATCTCAACCCGTTAATTCATTTGAAGAAATATGTGAAGAAATAGACACATTATTACTTTCTCGTTACCCTTCTAAAACCGTAGATGATGATTCTTCATCCACGTCTTCCTTCCCTTCTTCTACTCCTTCTGACTCAACAGCCTCATCATTTCGCGATTATACTTCACCAATTACTCCTGAGAGAGTGGTAAAATTTTATAAAGAACAACATGAGAAACAAACCGTAGCATGCGTTATTGAAAAACAAAACCGGTTTTCTTCATTAAATCACGCGAAAATGGGCGTTTGGAATGCCCTAGAATTGTTAAATACTTTGGTCGATAATTCTGATCCTGATACTGAATTATCGCAGATAGAACATTGTTTACAAACCTCCGAAGCTCTAAGAAGAGATGGTCAACCTAGATGGTTCATTTTAACTGGTATGTTGAAACTTGAAGCTTTTTTAATGAATGACGAAATAATTGATTCATGCGCAGTTGTAAAAGTTTTTCTCTCTCTTCTTTTATTATAGAAATTATCACGTGACTTACACGTATTGATTTTTTTTTCTTTTTTTTCTTCCCCTCCCCCTTTCCCTTCTAGGATTAATTCATGATCTAGGTAAACTCTTGTATTTTTATGGAGCGGAAGGTCAATGGGACGTCGTTGGAGGTATTTACGCTTCTCTAGTTAATTTATTATGAGAGATGAAATCTTATAACCTTGTAAACCCCTTCCTTTTTCTGTATTAAAGATACATTTCCCGTTGGATGTGCATTCTCTCAATCCATAATTTTTCCCGAATTTTTTCAAAATAATCCGGATTATAACAATCCTAAATATAATACCTTGTACGGTATTTACGAACCAAACTGTGGATTAGATAATGTATTAATGTCCTACGGTCATGATGAATATATGTATCAAGTTATAAAGGTAAATTTTAATTAATTGCGGGATTTCTTATCATTTTTATTTGTTTCATACTAAAATAATTTTTTTTAATAGGATTATTTACCACCTGAAGCCGGTTATATAATTAGATATCATTCATTTTATGCTCAACATCGTGAAAACGCTTACTGTCATTTAATGAATGATTATGATCACGAAATGATGAAATGGGTTAAAATTTTTAATCCATTCGATTTATATTCCAAAAGTGATCAACCACCAAATATACAAGATTTAAAACCTTATTATATTGAATTAATTAATGAATATTTTCCTGAAGAAATTTGTTGGTGAAGAATAAGAAGGATGATTTTAAAAAAAAGAAGAAAGTGAAAACTTCGAAAACCACTTCCTTTTAATTATTTTAGAATTCTACTTCTTTATAATAATAATAGATTTATTATTATTTATGATTTGTATTATTTGTATTTTTTAAAAAATTTTTTACTTGAAATAGAAATATTTCATTTTATTGATTTTTGTATAATAATAATATTACAATATTAAATAAATGGCGCAATTGCTGTTGTTTGTTTATTGAAAATTAATTACGCAATACTTTTTTTTTGCCAATCTTCATGTGAAATTGTTTACCTAAATTCGTATGCCATTTTCGTCCCGATTCTTCAAAAAATTCTCTCTTAATCCAAATTACTCACATAGTTTAAGTTTTATAAATTATTTGACAACTTATTAATTTAAAAATTTTTAAATTACAAAAAACTAAAAATTCAAAAGTACATTACCTTTTACACACTTGGCTCATTAATTAATTGTCCAAAGATCCCAAAAGAGTACACACATTATAGATATTCGGATTACAATCTAAGTAAGTCTGGATATGTTCGTGGAGGTCCAATGTCGGCAATTCCGTTACGGTAAGGATATGAAGTAGATAATAATTTTTATATAAAAAACTTTTAACAAAGATTTGGCCTTCATTTCAAGGTAATCCACACATTATAGATATCCGGATTGCAATCTAAGAAAGTCTGGATATGACTCCACTTGTACGTAGAGGCCCAGTGCCGGCAATTTCGTTATGGTAAGGATATGAAATGGATAATAATTTTTATATAAAGAAACATTTAACAAGTTTATACTCTTCCTATCTCATCCAAGAGTTATTCCATCTCTTGGAGTCAAGACGGTTATGAAAATAACCGTCAAGTTAATTTAATATCAATAGCAATACTCAACTGGAAACAGTATTATGATCTTGAGATATTTTTAATGCACCTTCTTGACCTGATAGTAGTGAGGTGATCATGTAAAATTATGGAAAGAAATGAATGATGGTATGTACTGGGCTCATGCAAGTACTAATTAAGATTGGTTTTCAACTAACCGACAAGACAATTGGAGATTTAATAAAGATGCTTGAATCACAAATTAAAATCGTTGGAGAGTCATTATTAAATTCTTTTTATAAAGTCGAGATCGATAATCTCCAAGAAAATAATGCTTACTTGCGAGACGTCAGCCAATTGCAGTCATACAATGAAATACTTAGCCAAAGAAAACGACAGCTTACGTCCCAGAGATTGTTGAATCAAAATTAATTGAAATGAGAAAAGTCGAAAAGAAGACAAGAAAAAGACAATGAGGATCATGAAAAATTTCTTATTATTTTTAAAATCACTATCTTGTTTTTTTTTTGTATATATTACAAATTATTTAATAATAATAAATAAATTAAAATTTTTGTATAATTTTTTTTTTTGACATTTATATAACTTATTTATAAGGAGATGAATGTGTGAAATCACTTTTACCTATCAAACGTATGATACCTTTAATTAATTTACAAATTAGGATACTATACAATTGATGTTACTATATGGTTACCTTGAAACTAGTTTTATTTGTTTATTCAGAAAAAGTAAGGAGTGAAGTTTATTTTTAAATTGAAATCTGGGATAACTCGTGGAGGTGCAGCCTTTTGTTTTTTTTTCTCTCACGCATTTTTACCTAACACAGCCCCTGATTTGTCATTATCCAGAAAGCGAACAAGTCTTACGCGCTTAAAATTTCTGTAACTTTTTTTGGACTTTTTTTTTCTGTAATGAGACTAAATGATCAATCAAAAATAAAGGGGGGGGAGATTACTAAATAAAGATAGACTCCGTCAAAAATTAATAATTATCACATGATATGTCTTCTTCAAACCGCAGTATTAAATACTAACACTAACACCTGATTTTTATGATTTTGATAGTTACTTTCTTTAAACGAAAGTCTCTTTAGAGAATTACTAATATGTAATTTCTGATTTATTTAAAATATCGAGGAAAACGCAATGTCCAACATTTTCATTTCCTAATCCAGGAAATTGTTGTATTAATGATTATGAATTTTAAAATACTTTAAAATAGTATTGAAACTCAAATATTATATATTATTGGATGATTAAACTAAGCGACACCATAGTACCGCTTCAAAAAAGAACGTCCGCATTATTGTGACCTTGGCCGGCCGGCATTATATACAAAATTGGAAGCATATTTCCTTTATTTTTTATCACGCGTTATAATAACGCGTCTTATGTATATTATTTAATGAACAAAGTTCAATCAATCAATTTTACAAAAAATTTCGGCAGTCCATGTTTGTTTGTGCCAATTACGACATATGGAGCTTATGCCGTAATGCTACAAAATCCATCTTTCTATAATTGTAATTTGGCAATTCCGAAAGCTTCCTGTAACTTTTTACATGTTTTATGATATAAATCGCTTATAATATGATTACATCATATACACGCATATATTTTTGTATTAATGAGAATAATTTTTCTTTATTTCACTTTATTACCTTATTCCCGAACAAGTAATTTATGATAAAGAATAATTATGACGAAAATGATGAAATGTAATACCTTAAAAACAATTACAGTATAAACATAGGCACTATAATAGGAGGTAACTGAGAAGTTCATGTTTCGACTCAATATATAGTATCCGATTATAGTCACATTACTTTATGCTATTTTATATTTCAATATTTCAATGAACTTTAAAGGCCTAAAAAAAAAAAGCTTAATAACCAAATTAATGTTATATAGCGAGAAATCCTTTAAAAAATAATTTTTAAACACATTTGAATATTTTTATTTCAATATGCCATTAAAATTAGTGATTTTCGTCACGTTTAAAAGGCTGAGCAGTGATTTATTTAGATTCATATTAGATTTTCGAAAAAAGAGTTGGTGGCTTTTTTTAAGGGAAAAATCAATTCTTTGTTTTACTAAATATAACGTTTTGTGTAATCCGTGATGGGAACACAATGACTTTTTAATTAAATTAATTTTCCAATTTTTGATATCTCTTCCTTTAATTCTCTTTTTTTTAAAAAAAATTCTTTTGTAATACAAAAATTCATTCTCTTTTAAGTGAATTTAGTAATATTTGATTATGTCAACAAATTGGGAAGATTTATTATGGAGGCCTATTCATAAAGCAAAAGCAAAAATGGATTATCACAGTCAACATCCTATGGATTTACATTTTGATGCTGGTGAAATTATCGAAGTCCTCGGAATTGGTAAATGATATTATTTATTTATTTATATTTTATGATCGTTTAATATCGATTAATTTGAATTTTTTTTTTAAAAAATTTAGAAAATGAAGATTGGTGGAATGGGAGTATACAAAATACACAAAAATTGGGAACTTTTAAATTTGGTTCTTTTCCAAAAATATTTGTGGAGGTTGTGGAAGCTGTGGAATCATCATTTGAATCAAAGAACGATTATCAACAAAAAAAAATTATTAATTCAAAACCAAATTTGCCTCCTAGAAAAAAACCATTAGTAACTTCAAATAATAACAAACCTTCCTATGATGATGATGATAATAAAACAGATGTTTTGAACAAATTATTAAACAAAATCCCAGAATTAACCAAGCCTAAGCTATCTAGTTCAAACAATTCCAATTCTTCACGTGAGAATAGTCTGAAAATTTCTGCTATGTTTGATCTTGAAACTTATGAACAGTTCGAATCTCGACCAGATCCTGTCAGGTATTTAATATTTTTTTAAAAAAAAAAAATTCGCAGAATTTAACAATAGTAATAATAATTTCTTTTGCGGAAAAAGTCGATGTGAACCAGTTGTTGTTGCAAAAGATTTTGAGGGTTTCTTTGACGCATCAGGTATATTCTTTAGCTTCTTTCATTCGTCAATAATAGTTAAATATTTGGTGCTTTTTTTTTAGTTGTCGATTTTACAATTATTGACGAATACGCACGAGAAACTCCAATATCAGAGACAGAAACAATAGGAAAATTATCTTATTATCTTACATCTGTGTGGGATCATCCTTTGTATAAATTACGAGCAATATTTACATGGGTGACAGATAACATATCTTATGACTGTGAATCATTTTTTTCAGGTATCGTATTTCTTAAAATTGAATGAAAATGTTCTTTTCGAACATATTGGCCGAGATTTATATATCTGTATTAGGACAATACCGAAATGCCGCTAATGGAGCAAAGGATGTATTAAAGAAAAGATCGGCTGTATGTGCTGGTTATTCAGAATTATTTTATGAATTATCAAAAGCTGCTAGATTAGATGTATGGAAGATAAATGGAAATGCCAAAGGTACTACAACTATATTCAATCTTATTATACATTTATTTATATAAATAATTTTTTTTTTTTTTAGGTGCTGGATATACAGCAGGGGCTGATATCTCAGGATCAGAATATGGACATGCATGGAATGGTGTATTATATGAAGGAGAATATTTATTGATAGATAGTACGTGGGGTGCCGGACATCTTCATAATGGACAATTTATTAAGTCTTTTAATCCATTTTACTTCATGTGCTCTCCTATGAAAATGATATATCGTCATTTACCTACGGATCCTAAACATCAATATTTAAAACCAATAATTTCATCTGAGGAGTTCTTGAATTTACCTTGTTTTAGAGAACTATGTTTCAAAAATGGAATTAATTTAACAAGATGGTCAGGTCATATAGCTGAAACATCAAAAGATAAAATATCTTTGGAATTTGAACATACAGCACTTGAAGAGACGGGTTATTATGGTGCTAATTTGGATTGGAAAGGACAAAGTAAATTGGCTGTTGTAGTACAAAGATTGACACATCCAGGTCCCAACGGAGGAATATTATATAGAATATTATGTAATATTCCTAGTAATGGAGACGGACATCTCAGCGTTTATTATTATCCTCGAGGAGGAGGGGAGGTATATAATAAAGCCTGTCTTAATTTTATTCCGTATTTTATGTATTTAATATTTCTAATATAAACCTTCTTTATAGGGACCGCAGCTAATAACTCAAAAAATAATAAATCATGGAACAGGTTCAAATTACAAACAATTTGTAAACACATACGGTATCCCATTTATAGTTTCAATTGTAAATCCCTTGGAAGCAACACTTGAACATAATACGAAAGTTAGGTTTGAAATTAATGTATTTGGAGAACATCCTACTCCAAAATTATTAGTATTTGATCAATCATTTAAAAAGAAACAATTTTTGGAAATAGTTGATCGAAATGATGAACAAGATTATGTTACTTTTGTCGGAGATGTTGTATTAAGTTATAAAGGAAAATGGCATTTGGGTTATGAAAGTAAAGATAATTATTTTAGTTATATTGCTGAATATGATGTTGATTAATAATTATAATATTTCATATTAGTTTTTTTTATTACTTGGGAATAATATGAACAAATATTAGAATAATTTTGCATGTATTTTATTAATTCGTTTTCTTTCTTTTTTTTTTTTATAATATAATTTGTCTTCATAAAGAAAGTAACTTCAATATTTATTTCTGTTTCAAGTTTTGGAATATCTTACCATTAAATATTATGAATAAAAAAAAAGGCTATTGATTAGATTTTTATAATATAAATTTTTTATATATAACTGAAAAAAAACAAGATTTTGGTTATTTTATCTGTTTTACATATGATAAGTAAAATAAAAATTAAAATAAAATTCCAATAAAATTTTAAACCTATTATTATTTATAAATAATACTAATTCATAAAAAGTAATGGAATATATTAATTTAGTGATATACTAATTTTTAATATATTATATTAAAAAGTTTAAACTAGGTAGGGCACTGTCAGATATTACCTAATATCACTTTAATATAAGAACTTACCCCCCCCCCAGGTAAGGTNTATATATAATTCCTTATATAATATTGTATGTAACCTAAGATCTTTAGTTACCCCCTCCCCCTAAAATATTAGGTAATATCTGACAGCACCCTTATAGTAAATTAGTAATCTAGGTACCACTCTATAATCTGATTACTACTTTATAACTTAGGATCTATAATTACTTACCACTCTTTGTTTACCAATTACCAGTATTATATTTTGTTAATTATCTTATTTGTAATTAAGCCTTTTATACTATTTATATTTTTATATTAATATATTTTTTATTATTACTCTATAATTTAACTACCATCCACTTTTTAATAATCTAATTACCCCTATTTTCTTTTTATTTTCTTTTGGCTTAAATGTTAAATTTGATGTTAAAAATATTGGCTTTTAATACATATTTGAACTTTAATTAAAATACTAATAATAATATTTACCTTCTAGTCATATTTTATTACCACTCATCAGCTTCAGTTTTCAGTTTTAAAATAATTAAAAAAATTGTATCAGATAGTGCAATAAATCTGAAATTAATTTTGGCCAACTCTATAGCATAATTTTTAGAATATATAATTTGAAAATTCAACTTAATATTATAGTAATATTGAAAAAGTATTTAAATACTAATTAGAGACTGAAAAAATTTCTAATTTACCAGTTTTAAATCACTTCTTAAATATTAAGTTATTATATTCCAAATTTAACTAAAAATTATGGAATAATATTAGTCAAAATTATCATTAATTTCTATACTTTAAGTTTTAAATACTTCATTATTTTTTTATAACTTTTGAGAGGTTAATAAAATATCCAAAAAATGTCTTAATAAATAACTGTAAAGCTGTTTCAATTTAATTATTTGTTTAACATATTTCTCTTCCTTCTATTTATTCAAAAATCTGGATTTTATTAAACATATAATAATAAATATGTTAAAATACTCCTTTTAAATTTAAATTACAATTTTTCAGAATTTCCAGAATTTTCCTAAAAGTTATATTATATTTGTTTATTTATTGTAAATTCCTTTTTTCTTTCAAACTCTTTATAAATTCTAAATATTAAATAAACAATCAAATTAAAACAGCCTAAAAATCTTAAAATTAAATGCCAAATCACATTAGATAATAATACTTTTATTAATACAATTTACAAATAAATTTTAAATACTAAAATAAAAATACATTTTATGACATAACTGTTAATATTGAAACTAGAAATATGATTTTACTATCATTAAAATCCTTTTATTGAAATGAATCTAATGATATAAATTTTATTAAAATTAAATCACTGGTTATATTAAAAATAGAGATATATAAAATACAAAATTTTAAAAATACTTTTATAATACATAATTTTTGAAAAATTTTAATATAAATTCTAAGCAAATTTAAATGTAAATAGTAAGTTGTATCAGTATTATTTGGAATTCTTTATTTATAATTTTCATATAGATTTTTTTGAATATTTTTCTTATTTTTCTATTTTTAATATTTAGCTATTTATTTATCAACATAAAATCTTCTACCACTATAAAAAAAAATTATTAATAATATTTTTAAAAGGTTTAAGCTAATTAATTGTATTCCTTTATATTTATTATAATTCTAAAAAAAAATAAAATTTTAGAAAAACTTTCTGATTTTTTTAAGTTTTTTAAGAATCCTAGACATTACATATATAACTCACATTTGAGTTTTAGCAAATTTAATCAAAATTAAGTTAAGTTCATAATTTTAGATAAAGCAAATTAATTGAAAATTAATTAATAGTCATAATTATGAGTTTTAGCCAATTGTGTTGATTTTATAAAGTCATATTTTATATTTGAGCAAATTTGGTACTTTTTTTTAAAATTTAACTTATCCTTTTTTTTTAACTTTTATAGATAGTATTTTTAAAAATAATAGTTTCTATATTTTGGCTAAAATTAAGTATAATTCTGGTTAAAATCAAGCATAATGCAAATCAAAAACTGTTTAATTAGTTTTGAAACATTTTATTTTTTAATAATTATTTATATTTAATTTATTATTTTTATTAATTATTATTTTATCTATAATTTACATATTTTTAATTATAAATTATAAAAATTAACAGTTTAATTTATATTAATTATTTATTTTTTATTGATAATAAAAAAAAGATTGTTAATTTCAGTAAATTGACAATTAAATTTACCGATCTACAAATAATTTTAATAAACTGAAATTATATTTTATTAAGCAAATTTAAACCTAGTATATTATTTAGAATTTACTATTACTCATATTTTGAGTTTTAGCAAATTAGTAATAATTTGATTTTAGCAAATTAGATTTATTTTAGTAGGAGCAAAAAGTGCTAAATTCATGCAAATCAGTTATGAGTTATATATGTGATGTCTGGGATCCTGTTTTTTACTTCAAATAACTAGGGATAATCATTACTGTTAGCCAGAATTATCAATTTTTACTGGTGCTATATTTTTTAATGCTGGTTGATCATCATAATTTTAGTCACCAGTGATCATTACCTCTGGTAATAGTTAGAAAAATTCTTTTTTTAATATTTATTTAATTATTTTATTATTTTATTATCTTATTATTTATATTCATATAGATCAGTTTTACAAAATTATAAAATTTCATTTTTTATATATTTTAAAATTTTACACTTCATTATAAATTACTCTTTTATTTAGTTTTTATTTTTATTTACAAATTTTTTTAATATTTAAGGGGCGTGCCAGAAATTAGCTGATTTGAAAGGGAGTGGGGGAGTCAAGCTTCAGATCAGGTCTATATATATCACGTAACATTTATATATTTAAATATAAACTAGTATAAGTAATTTACCGTATATCGTGGGCCATAGTACCCCCCCTATGCATAGTACCCCCCTTGAAAAATTTCATAGAATTGTATAGTACCCAGGGGGATATTTTACAATTATCTCATGATCTAGTAATCAGATTTGAGCCATCTTTTTTTTGTTTGATAGCTTTCATTAAGCTCTTCAAAATAAAAAAAAATCGTTCAAATTGGACTGGTAGATCATGAGATATTCGCAAAAAATGGAATTTTTAGGCTTTTTTTAGTACCCAGGGGTACAGGGTCAAACCCCCAATTTTTGCAAGATACCCGGTGTAAACGGCCGAATATCAAGCATGAGAAGATGATAAAACACCACCGCCAAATGTAATTATCAAGTATTAAGAACGAACAAATTAATCGTGGATTGGTGTGGATGGATAAATAATTAGCCGAAAAGGATAAACATTTAAGAAGAATAATGATCTACATGATGTAATATTTATTGAATGATTGACAAAGAACCAATAGGATAAATAGAGTCGATCATTTGCGGCTTAGCGATCTTTAAAAATGAGAACGATAAGAAAGAATAATTATAAGCCACAAAAGATAGATTATAAGCAAAACACATAAAGTGGATTAAAAGAATATATAAAATAATGTCGGAAAGATTGGAGAACACAAAATAATATAAAGGATAATATGAAAAGATGGCATAAAGATGGAATATAAAAGATAACATATTAAAAAGAATATATATAAAAGATAACACAGCCACAAAAGATGAATTATATCTTTACGACATAATATTTGAAAAATTATTTAAAGAAAAGGTAGCACAGCCATAAAAGATGGGTTATAAATTATTTCTTTGCGATGTAATATTTGAATAATAGAAAAGATAACATATAAAATAATATAAAAGATAGCATATTAAAAGATAGCGTATTTAAAATATAGATAGTATATTAGAAAGATAGTTCAAAGATAATATGTAAAGAACATAAAAGATAGTATATAGATAGAATAGAAAATAGCATAAGAATTGTATATATAGAGAACGGAATTCAAAGTAATTCCATAGTTCTCATCCACAGAACTCAATAAAAATATAAGTTTCATTTAAATTATTTGTTAATGAAGTTTAATGTTAATTAAAGGTAATAGGTTCGCCCTAAACTTTAATTAATGTT